GCATGAATTGCTCTGTCAAAAGTGATAGAATTATAAATTGCTCAGTCAAAAGTGATGGGCTCAAAAGGGACTTGCAAAGTATAGAATCACCAGATTTTCAAATGAGTGAAACAATGTCAGGTATGGCCTTATCTAACTTAGATCTTTACCAGTAATATGTCCATTTCTTTTCCATGTTTTGTTTGGATAGCTTTTACTAATTAAGGTTCCGAGTTGGCAGGGGACTCGAGTGAAATTGATGAAGAGGTGGCAAAAGAATGGGAGCATACACTTCTACAGAATAGCATGGACAAAGAATTACATGAACTAAATAAACGTTTAGAGCAAAAAGAGGTAAATTTAGAAACATGACAACAAGAGCTAATTTAAACCGCCAAGAACTTGGGAAGATGGTTTAGTTCTTATATTTTAGAACATGGAGATCTGCTTTTGTTTACAGTGATTTTGTTAATGACTTTGTAGTCGGAAATGAAGCTTTTTGGAGGATTTGATACAGCAGCTCTCAAGCAGCATTTTGGGAAGAAAATCGTGGAACTGGAAGAAGAGAAAAGAGCTGTGCAGGTTAGCCTCTACTTCAGTAGAATCTATACTATTTTTGTGGCGAAATTATGTTCATTGTTTTCACTCCTGCAGCAAGAGAGGGATAGCTTGTTAGCTGAAGTTGAAAACCTGTCTGCTTGTTCCGATGGTCAGACACAGAAATTATATGACATACATTCCCCAAAACTCAGAACACTTGAGGCTCAGGTGATTCAATTTCTCCCTTCTCAGAACGCCCTTGTTTATGTATGAGAAAGGAATTCCTGGAATATAAGTTGTATTCGTACTTTTTTTTAATTGTTTTATTTATAGATTCTGGAACTCAAGAAGAAACAGGAAAACCAGGTTCAGCTACTAAGGCAAAAACAAAAAAGTGACGAAGCAGCCAAAAAATTGCAGGACGAGATTCAGTTCATAAAGGCTCAGAAGGTAAATTCATTATTTCTTGTTTATATTCGCTTCTGTACTTTTCTCTCCATTTTCTGAGACTTGTAGCTTGAAGGTTCAATTACAACAAAGGATGAAACAAGAGGCGGAACAATTTCGACACTGGAAAGCGTCTCGTGAGAAAGAGCTTCTCCAGGTAATTCAACCACCAGAAGATAAAAATTGCATTACTATTGAGTCGACCAACTATGATTGTTTATATCTGTTATTCACTGTTTTTGTTGACAACTTTGCAAAACAGCTAAAAAAGGAGGGCAGGAGAAATGAATATGAAAGGCACAAACTGCAAGCTCTAAATCAACGGCAGAAAATGGTCGGTACTTCATTGTTACTTGCTTCCTTATTCATCATCTATCTGTTCTTCCTCTATAACAAGGCTCAAATGGTTTGGATGCTTTGGATGCTTAATTATAAGAGATTTTTGTAAGATCCCACATTGGTTGGAGAGGAGAACGAAGCATTCTTATAAGGGTGTGGAGACCTCTTTCTAGTAGACGTGTTTTAAAACTTTGAGGGGAAGTCTAGAAGGGAAAGCCCAAAGAGGACAATATTTGCTAGCAGTGGGTTTGAGCTGTTACAAATGGTATTAGAGCCAGACACACCGGGCGGTATGCCAATGAGGATGATGGGCCCCCAAGGAGGGTGGATTGTGAGTTCCCACATTGGTTGGAGAGGAGAACAAAACATTCCTTATAAGGGTGTGGAAACCTCTTCCTAGAAGACGCGTTTTAAAACCTCGAGGGGAAGGGGAAGCCCAAGAGGTGAATATCTGAATTCTAAAGATATTTGTTACTTTAAATGGATAGCAATTAGGTCTGTATACAAAATTTTGGCCCCCTTTTGGATTGGGTAAATGTTTTTTTTTCTTGCCATCTATCATCAATATGCACTTATTTGTTTCAGGTTCTTCAAAGAAAAACAGAGGAGGCTGCAATGGCCACCAAGAGGCTGAAAGAACTACTGGAAGCTCGTAAATCCAACGGTCGAGAAAATTCAGGTATTTTCTTATTTAGAGTATATTAAGGTTTTCCTTACTTGACAATGCCTTGTTCATAAGGACAACCCTTTTCCTGCTTATAATAATTAAGTGATTTAAAATCCAATTCCTCGATGTTGGTTTTTTCAGGTATTACAAATGGAAATGGAATGAACGGGCAGGTATTTTCTGATCTGTTTCATTGCCTTCCTCCCTATTATGTCAGCTCAATCCCGTTTCTAATGGAAAATTCTCTTTCTATAGATCCATGAGAAACCTCTACAACGCTGGCTTGACCATGAATTGGAAGTAATGGTGAACGTGCATGAAGTTCGTTTTGAATATGAAAAACAAAGCCAAGTGTATGTGTAACACTAGACCTTAGGTTGAATTATGAATAAAATAAAATTCCAATGTATATTTTGATTAATTTGCAATGCAGGCGAGCTGCACTTGCAGAAGAGTTATCCATGCTGAGGCAAGTGGAAGAGTTTGCTTCAAAGGGCCTCAGCCCTCCAAGAGGGAAGAATGGTTTGGCTAGGTAAGAATTGTTATCAAACGAAAGAATTCAGCTTCTACATAAAGATGTGGATTGTATCTAACTTGTGTTTTGCAAATCAGAGTGTCCTCTATGTCGCCAACTGCAAGAATGGCCAGAGTAACGTCGCTTGAGAACATGATAAGTATATCGTCAAATTCCCTTGTGGCGATGGCTTCACAACTTTCAGAGGCTGAGGAACGAGAGCGTGCCTTCACCAACCGTGGACGATGGAACCAGTTGCGCTCCATGGGAGATGCTAAGAATTTACTTCAATACATGTTCAATTCTCTGGCAGATGCACGGTAATTATTCAAGTCCATGAGTCCAAATTTTTGCTGGGATTAGAGTTACACTTTAGTTCCTTGGTGTAATAACCCAGGCCTATCGCTAGCAAATATTGTTCTCTTTAGGCTTTCCCCCAAGGTTTTAAAACGCATCTGTTAGGGAGAGGTTTCCACGCCCTTATAAAGAATGCTTTGTTCTCCTATCCAACCAATGTGGAATTTCACAATCCACCCCACTTGAGAGCCCAGTGTCCTCGCTGGCACACCGCACCGCTAGTAGATATTGTCCTATTTGAGCTTTCCTTTTCGGGTTTCCCCTCAAGCCCAAAAGGGAAAGCTTAAAGAGGACAATATTTGCTAGCGGTGGGCTTGAGCTGTTACACTTGGATTGTGAGTACACGGTGCCCGAATAGTCTAAAAAGTAGATTTGAAAAGATCTTCACAACTGATGCAAGAAACCTGAACGAGCTTGTTATTTACAGGTGCCAATTATGGGAAAAGGAACTTGAAAGTAGGGAAATGAAGGAGCAACTGAAAGAACTTGTGGGACTGCTGCGGCAGAGTGAGACACGGAGAAAGGAAGTAGAAAAGGAGCTAAAAGTGAGAGAGAAGGCTGCTGCAATTGCATTGGCTTCATCTGCACCGGTGAGTTTATGATTATTAGGTTACGCTTTTCCAACTCTTCATCCATACATACTGAAGTTTTTACGTTGCTCCATCACTTATTGACGATTATGCTTCTTTTCAGGTCCACCGTGAGCATGAGAGCAGACCACTTTCATTAAAACACTTTGCTGATGAATTGAGCGGTCCCTTGTCCCCAATGTCAGTACCAGCCCCGAAGCAACTCAAGTATACAGCAGGAATTGCCAATGGCTGCGTTAGAGATTCTACAGCATTCCCAGATCAAACACGAAAGGTTACACCATTTTCCCCGTTCATTTACTGCCATAGAAACTGACCTCTCATTTTTCTAAGAGCGGTGGTGCTATTAGTGCAGATGGTACCAATTGGAAACTTATCAATGAAGAAGTTAGCAACTGTAGGACAAGCTGGGAAGCTTTGGAGATGGAAGAGAAGCCATCATCAATGTCTGTTAAAGTTTAAATGGAAATGGCAGAAACCATGGAGACTTGCAGAATTGATCAGGCATAGTGATGAAACAATAATGAGATCAAGGTCTCGACCACATGCTCTTCTTGCTGGGAGGTGATATTTGGTGGTTTCGGGTTTATTATCCCCCAAATATCATTGACTTTGAACTATGATTCCACCTCATGTCACAGGAACAAATTGCAATAACTGCAGGTACTCTTCTTGATCTTCTGATTCATTCATTTGTATCTACTTGAACCTGACACGATCTTTCTCCAATGAAAGCAGCTGAAGTCAGGCAGGCTTATATGATCTCTGCATATTTCTTCAATGGAAAACCATTTTGGTAGATATGTGATTTTGGATTCTTCGATGTTGTGGTTATCACATTTGAAGCATCTTGTAAAGCTTGTATGGATGCTACAAAATGGGGTCACCCGACGACTAGCTAGCATGGCTGCAAGTGCGGGAACGGGGCGAGCATGTATACAATGGATAGAGAGATCGCTCAAGAAAGCTTTGTATATCTTGTCAATAACAAGAAAAGGAATGCAGGAATGTGTACTGAAGTTTTTTTTCTCTTTAGTCCTTTGGTTTATCTTCGCTTTGAGTACAATATTGATTTGTTGAAAGAAACTATTAGGTTGGAGGAGAGAAAAAAAAGAAAAAAACAGATCTCTTACTAATATGTTTTGTCTTTCTGTGTGATACTAATCTTATTACTTGAGGACTCATGCTTTGTAAATGTATTTGTATCTAAGCAAAAGAAGAAACTTTGAATCAAACTTTATGAATCGTACACAAAGGTTGTTATCTTTGTTTTTAGAATCTCACTCTACAAAGCTCGGGCCGAAGAGCTAAAGCAAAAGGCCGCCAAGAGAGGTGACTTCAGTCCTCCTCAGAGCGATGAAGGCAATTGAGAATGGCAAAAGCCGCTTTTATATGGAAGAAGCCTTCCTTTCTCATTGAACTCAAAGGATAACGCAGGATTTGATGCATAAGCCACTTGAAATTGGGTGCAAATAGGTATGAAAATGAAGAGGCCACTCTGATGGGGCTATATCACGGTACAAAGCAAGGCTGCCTTTTAAAAACATTGAATGAACCATACTGATATTGATAACGCCTTCTTTGAAGAATTAAACAATAAGAGCATGGCAAGTACTGATAACCAGTGGATGTTATCTGGAAATCCAGGTAGGCCTTAAAATACCATTGGAAAAGGAAAAGGAAAAGGAGTTATCTCAATACAATCATTTTCTGCCCAGAAATGCGGCAGCTCACTGTTTGTACCTTTTTTGTTCTCCCTCTCTCTTGAACAGAAGAAGCTGTGGCATGTACAAATACAAGTTTGAGCATTGATATCCGAACACAACTTAGATCTGAGCACACCAATATGCATAGTGCTCATCTTTGCGATGGTTACTAACAAGACCGCCACATTGCAAACAAATAAAACTGCTCCCATCTGAGAATGCATCCATAACAACTTGCATCCTACCAGTTTCTGCCAGTATAGAATTACCGTGAGCATCAACAACCGATGAGCTAGACATGTTACATTCTCCAGGTTCAGGGTTCAGAGGCTGAGCTTCAGCTATAGCACACTCTGCAAATATAGAAGCAAGTTGATCAACATCTGCAGTTTCCCGCAATCGAGTTCTGTACAGCTCACCAGCACGGTGCAACGATTGAAAGACTGCTGCATCCCCACCTTGGGTTCTCATTGCCATTACAAACTGTCCAAACATGAAAAACAATGTGCTGGAAACTATTAACAAAATTTATTGATCTCATTCTGATTCTCTAATAGATCAGGCTCATATGCTCCATCCATGATTTAGCCATGTTGATTGAGGTATCTGAGTGACTACTACTACGGCATGCATGTGTATTATCCTTTCCTCTAAAGGGCTATAAAATATCATAGGTTTATCAGTATCTGCCTCACTCAGCGTGGAGTAGATAGCTATGGGGACAGGAAGTTCTACAACATTTCAGGAAAAATTTGTGTGTATGTACCTTAGTATTTTTAGTTCTGAAGAAGATTCAGTACGACATGAAATCCAACATCAAGTATATAGATTGACACAATCTGTTCTTCATGAGAGATTGTTCCAATTTTTACAACAAAAATATCTCAATGACAAAGCATCTAAGAGAAGGGGGTGGTAGTATTTCAAATCCTCTTAAGATTGGCAGAGGGCTTAGGAGATTTCTCTGAAGTGAAAGCAGATTATGGTAGGCTAAAGGATTCTAGAGATGTTATAAGGAATAAAGTAGCTTTCGTAGCAACCCCTTCAAGGCATTTAACCAAGATGTTTAGGTCAATAGTTAGCTGGTTGTGGTCGACTACTCTGAGCGCCCAGGATTGGAATGAAAGGCCATGTTCAGGGATGGAATCCAAGCAAGCTATGCTTAACATTGAGCATAAAAGACTATGGAATGCGATGGTTTCTTAGAGGCTTGCCTGAAAGAAAGCCCTATTGGCGGATTTTCAATCCCATATGTCAACCAGAACTCAACTGAAGTAATTTAATTCAAAGAAACTCAACAGTTGATAGTTCAAAGATAACAAAGAACGAGAATAGACCAAGGAAGAATTCGAGAGAGAGAGAGAACTTTTTCTTTTTTGTCGAACGTACCGCTTGGAGGGCTTGAGAAGGCTTCCGTTGATTGATGAATTGACGAGCTAATGTGAGTAATTCGCGGACAGAATCGCCGGCGACGGCTCCGTTCGCCGAAAATTCAGCCTCCATCAAGTCCGACTGTTTACAGTCCATGGAATCATCGGGGAATTTTCTTCGAGATCTTGCTTTATACATGAGAAATCCAAGGCAGATTCTTTTTTCCCTTTTTCTTTCTTTTTTCGTGGGAAAATTGCAATTTCCACAATCATCCGTCTCTTCAATTTTTCAATTTTTACCCTAAAATTTTGATGAATTCATCCAATTATATTGAAGATTTTGTTTTAATAATACTCAAAAACTTTTTTTTTTTAAAAAAAGAAATGGTTAAATTTTGTTTCAATAATTTATAATTCTCATAAATTTTTTAAAAAATGTTTTAAAAAAATACGATAAGTGAAAAGAACTTTGTGGATAGGTATTTGATAATTGATACCCAACCCGAACGCATTGATCCATATTCCCAACACAGCGGGTAGCAACAGGGGTTGGGCTGAAAGCGCGCGGCCACCGCCCATGCTGAAACTTCTCGTCTTATGGCTGTCGCCTCCTCATCGGAAGAGAGTCGCAGCTTCCACTAATTGGTGAATGGTGAGTGATTCGCCTCTTTGCCCTCCGGTAATATATTTTCTTTTTTCGTAACAGGTATCGCTTAAACATCTGCATAATTAAATTAATCTAGAACGCGAATGTCAAATTTCCGACACATTATTCTTGAATTAGAAAACAATAATGTAATGGCTTGCAAATTGCTTATACGTTTCTTTTTCCTTTGGTGTGAGTGTATGGGCGTTCTACTGAGAATGTTCTTGGAATTACAATTGAGATGCAGAAAATTGAAAGCACAGACAATGCGATTCCGAGATGCGCCTCGGAATTGATCAAATTTAGGGAAAATGTGGCTGATATTTGGGAATGGAAGTAATTGGGGGATTAATAGAGGTAAACATGCAGGGCATTAGAGTATAAGTCCACATGCGAGGGCAAACTCTGGGAAATGCTAAGAATTTTGCACATTCAACTATTGGTCTCTGGAAAGGCAGATCTGGAATGCAATTGTTTCTAATATTTAATACTCCTCTCCCTATCAAAATCCGACACAGAGGCCCAACAACAGTGAAATAGTTGTCCGACAAAGATAGATTTATCAGATTTCGAAGCGCGCAAACCATTTCCGGCACCATACCATACAGTAGATTTCCAGCGAAGTTCAATTGCTCCACTTTCTTTAGGCAAGCCAAGGAGAAGGGTAATGGTCCTGTTAAACGGTTGTTGCCGGCATCAAATACAACTGCTTCGTCAAGTGATCCTAATTCATAAGGCAAACACCCTGATAAGGAGTTGTTTACCAGCAGAACCTCAGTTAGAGATGACAAAGCTTCCACAATACCGACTGGAATTGAACCGCTAAATTTGTTGTTGGCTAAGGTGAGATAGAGAATATGGGTGCTGGAAAGACTGTCTGGGAGATTTTGCATGAGATTGTTGTTGTTGATCAGGAGAAAATCAAAGTCCTGCGCGAAGAGTCGAGGTGGGACTGACCCAGTGAAGAAATTGAACCGAAGGTCCAAGAAGGTTAGGCTGTTCAAACCAACAACAGCAGTAGGAAAAGGACCAGATAATCTGTTGTTGCTCACGTCCAGCTCGTATAGATAAGGGAGCTTGGCAATGTTCGTGGAGATGGTGCCTGCAAATTTGTTGGAATTGGCATGAAACACAGCAATGTCAGGGAGCTGATCGAGGAAGCCTTCGAGGGATGGTGCACCGAGTTGGAAGCCATTGAAGTCTATGGATGCAACAGCCGTGGCCGACTTGTTGTCGGGTGGGTTGTCACAGTAAAAACCTTTGTAGTTGCATATATCCGATCCAACCCATGTTTTAGTGATTCCTTGAGGATCCGAGGAGATAATTGACTTGAATTTTTGAATCACAGGGTACACCACTGAAAGCCTCAGGTCTTCAAATATCAAAACCTCTGCTTCAACAGGCAAAAGAGATGATCGCTGAGCAGTTATTGGTTGCTTACAGTGAGGCCACCCCCGATCACAGTCTTTTTCCGAATTTCTGTCACTACCCACTTTGAAGTATTGCGTTTTGTTGCCAGTAACATTGACTATGGCGTGGACAACGGAAGAAGAGAGCAGGTTGCCGAACAGAAACAGCAAAACACTGAGAGGTATTTTACTCATTTTTATCTGCCCAATAAATTGTTTTCTTTGTAGTTCATTCAGGATTTTATAAGAGGTGACAAAATCAGACCAAGATTCATAAACCAGCTTGTTATATATAAGAGAGTTGGCAAAAAGAAGAGGGGATGCTGTAAACGCTTTGGGATCAAGCAGGTATGGCTCTGTAAATTAGTAGGTGGATTTTTGTGTCAAGTTGATAAAGCATAAAACGATAAACCAAAAAATTACAGTACAAAAGTGGAAATCAATGATCCAAACTTTTCAAGAATTGGGTCCAGTACTTCGGGTCCCAACACTGAAAACAGAAACCAAATGGCAATGATAAAAAGAAAAAACTATAATGAAGAAAAACCACCATCGCATAAGTTGCTCGTCAGATTGGAGATATGGTTCATTAGTATATGACAACTTCATCTAACCTTTTCATATATTGATCCGCCACTTCAGTACTCTAAAGTGTCAATATTTTAATTTGCATTTGAACTTTGATTTTAAGATCATACATTATTCTGTGAGTTTTAAAGAGCAGCAGTCTTATATTGAAGGATCGGATAGGTCTTATGAAAGTCAACTATTGTTCTCTATTTTAGAGTCACCTTTTTGCCCATTGGATTCCATTCTCTTAAGATGATAATGATTGCGTTACTGCATACAGCTGTGTAGGTGCCTTAGTGAAACAAAAGCTCATTGTCTTGATACACGTTATAAACCGTCCCTTTTCTCTTCTTTTTGAAAAGGTACAGACATGAGTGACAGATTTGAATCTCTAAGGAAGACTCAATTTCGTCATTTGACTGTGATTGGCGAGTCAATCACCGTAATTATGGCAAGTTTGGAACCAATCTACTCAAAACTGGACTTCCCAATAATTAAACAGAATTCATAAAGATGATATCAGTGATGGGTCGAAGCCCACAGGGAATCAAATGGATAATTCGCTCGACCCACATAGGAAAAGTTGAAACTTTGATGAACCCAAGTGAAGCGAAATTCAGGAAGGAAAAAGACCTAGCGTTGCGGTACAATCTAAAACTCCCATGGATCGAAACGTTTGCTAATTTTTTGAAGCAAAAGAAAGTTAGCATACAAGAATAAAAATTGGGTGGAAATGGGAATAAAGGTGGGGTTTTTTGTCTGCTGTTTGTTTATACATATAAAATACATCCACCATCTAATCCAATATGCTATAAAACAATAAAATTCCACAAGGAATAATATTAATATCGGAGAGAGCATAAGAAAGAAAGCCTTAAGAAAACAGAAGCCCCACTGAGTAGCGTAGCATCCCCCCACTCTCTCCCTCTCACATCCTTCAAATTTCCAAATCCAAACCCATTCACGAAAAGGGGCATCTCTAATTTTCTATTGACAGACAGTGCAACGCACCCACCACTAGTCTCTTCTTGGAGACGTTGCTCAAGCCGCAGCGTTGACTATTGGTCCCTATGATTTTAAACTGTGGTTTTCCCAAACTATATATATATTTATATAATATTGATGGAGAATTGTAGGCGTTGGATGAGTTGACTATTATGATGACTCGAGAAGAAGCGGTGCAGGTGTTTGGGTAGATAGGGCGTGATTGTGATCGTTCTCGTAAGTAACAATCAGCATTGTTGGATCGTCTAAGGCACGTTCTACGTGCTTCCGTGCTGGACAGCCTCTCAGACTGCTACACTTGTAATATCCCCTGTTTCATTTACAAAAAAGTCATCATTTTCAGTCAGTCGGTCGGTCCTCATACACTACACTACACTACACTCTTTTTTCTCCTATATATTATTATTATTATGCTTGCAAGACCAAACAACGGACTGGACGACACAGGTCAACCACTCCCCCTTCTGTTCTGCCCCCACCCACTTATTCATTCAACGACTTCACTTCACCACACACAAACCAGAACTGTGAAAACAAAGATAATGATCCAAAGCAAAAATCACACACCTCGGATGAGGAGACCCTTTAATTGGTTTTTGGCCGTACTTTCTCCATGAGTAATCGTCCGGTGGGATGTCCGCAAGTTTTGAACTAACCGCTGGAACTCTGATCACTCTTTTCATTCTGTTTTTCCTGATAAGCCATGCAAACACTCTCAGTTCAATAACGAATCTAATATTCCAAACCCACTTACGAAAATTTATGGAGATTTTATATAATCTGTTGTTAGGACCTACCTCTTCTTGGAACAGTGACATCGACCTGAAGACGAACCGCACTTCCTGGCGGAATCGTCCATGGAATTGCATTTTCTCTTTAGTGAGGAGGAGGAAAGAGGGGGCTTTCCGGCGGAAGAGACCTGGGACATGTTGGTGAACTGGAAACCAGATGACAGAGATGGGTGTAAGCTTTCGGTGTCTCCGGTTAAGGATGAAATATAAGAATTTGCAGCGGAAATCGACGGCGAGGCTGCGAAATTGATGGCGGATGTTGAGTCTTTTCTGTTTACAAACCCATTTTTTAGTCCCCCCGATGAGTTATTGTGCTGGGGTTGAAAAGTACTTGGCTGATTAGAAGGCTGATGGGGGTTGTTGGGAAGACCAGGCAAACGCACAACAGAGTAAGGCGTGGGGCAATAAACCTTAAAAGCAGAAACTGATTCTTGTTTCTTTAGTTGAGGGACTGAAATCGGAGACGACGAACTCGGATCTTGATGTTGCGGCTTGACCTTGGGCGGAGAGGAAGCAGTAGAATCAACCGGAGCCCTTCTGAAACGAGCATGGCCAGTTCGGTTCCGGTCGAGTAAAGAAATGACCTTTTTGAATTTGTTGACGACGGAATCGGCGACGGCTTCGTATCCAGCAGCAGCATCGGGCGCAGTGGAAGTGGAAGAATCGTGTTGAGAGTGATGTTGATTAGGAGTATGAGACACCAAGGTGAGGAAGCTATGAACGCTCTGAATCCCAGCAGAAGCGGCTTCTTGAACAGCAGAAACAGCAGCATTTTCTTCCATACTGGGCGTGAAATTAGCAGCAGCATCCCCAAAACCCACCATAAACTCCACAGCCATATTGTTCTTGAGAAGCAGCATATGAAAAACAGAAGGGGCGCAGAAGGAGGAGAGTATTATATTGAGAAAGAAGAAAATGGTGACGAGGAAAAGCAGAACGGTGGGAAAAGATGAAAAAAGAAATTGGGGGAAGAGGAAGAAAAGGATTCGAGTCAAACTGATGGCCTCTCTATGCAAGGCATCGGGTAACTGAGCTGTCGATTCTGGTCCATCTGGCGTCAAACCCTGAAGCCAATGAGAGGACGCCACGTATGTGGAAACTGTCAGTCAATTGACCCTCCTGCGTAGGAAAGGCCCAATTACAGGGTGAATCGGTTGGAGAGGGGTTTTAAATGAGTGATGGGATTAGATAAGGTCAAAAGGTTGAGAGTAGCCGTTAAGATTGAGGACTCGGTAAAATCGGGAATAGAGAGAGAAACAGGACAATATATTATTAGTTGGAGACAGTGGGATAGAGTTGACCTTTCCCAGCTTTTAATACAAAAGTCATTGAGTGAGTAGGTGGGGATCCTTTTTTTTTACCGGATACCGGAACTCTCCACCAATAACTCACCTTGGATTCCCTTCTTTCCTCAACAAATAAATTCATTCATTCATTTTCAAATTTCAATTCTTGGGTTTGGTTTGGTTTGGTTTGGTTTTTTATTGGGCTTTGCCTTTTCGGGCCCACATTATAGGAGAGACCCACAAAGTCCTGGAATGAGAAAGGAACAAACCCTAAACCAAAAGTTGAGATAGATGCTGTGTTGGAGTTGAGGCAGATGAAAAGAAGGGGGGCTTCATTCATTTGGCGCAGATATCAAGAGAAATAAGTGGGTGCCAATGGCATAGGGAGGAGGGTCGTCATCGTGTGGCTCAGAAGGCATCCAATTCCTATAATCAACGCCATTTTGAAAGGTATGGCTGAAAACTGAAAAGAAAGAACACCCAAGTTTGGCAAAGTTGGTTCAAATTTGAGTGACCAATTCCTCCAATTTTCCAACCTCCAACAAATGTGAGTTTTTGACGAAAACGTGTTCAGTTGGGATCTAAAACTTTTAAAGAAATTTCAAGATTCCATTAATATTATTAAGTCAAGTTTCAATTTTCATTACAGAATGCCAAATTCGAAGCCACTTTGTTGACTTTCTTTTTGTGTTTTAAATCCCTTGAATTTTAAATACCCAACTTCCTATTCAACTCCCCCATTTCCCCCCTCTTTTAGCCTTTGCTTTTTTCATAAATGATTTTAATTACATGAATTAATTAGCCTTTCCAACCCTCAATTTTTTAATTCCCAAAATATCTAACAAACATTGCATTCAAGAAAAATGTCACCTAAGATTGAAGATCAAATCTATGATTCAAAATTTAGAGCATAAATTATGTTACGATTTATACTTTTGGTATTTTTCATCAGATAAATCATGAATATTTGTTGGTGCATGTAACTTTTGTTTGTGTTTGATGATTGGAAACAAGAAAACAAATTCATTATTTTCATCCTTCCCATCATTAAGAAAAGTAAATGAAGAAGGCACACGGAAGGCAGTTTTCAATGTAATTGATGAGAGGGAAATGTTTTGAAAATTATATAGGTAACACTATCGCTACTAAAATATTTATTACGAAAATATTTTCGCACCCGAATATTTTGTTCTCCTCTCTAATCGATATAAGATTTCACAATCCACCTCTTTGGTGGTACACCACTCGTGTCTAGCTCTAATACTAACTCTGACAACTTAGCAAATGTTGTCTGCTTTAACTCATTACGTATGTATCGTTGTTAGCCTTATTATTTTAAACCACATATGTTAGGGAGATGTTTTCATACTATTATAAGAAATACTTCGTCCTCCTTCTCAACCAATGTGAGATCTCTCAATTTATCCCCTTGGAGGCCAGCGTCATTGTTGGGCACACTGCCCAATGTTTAGTTTTGATACCAATTATAATATCACAAGGCCACCGCTAGCAAACACTGTTCGCTTTAGCCTGTCACATATTGTCGCACGATTTTAAAACACATCTGTTAGGAAAAGGTTTCCATACTA